ATTACTGGGCAGTGAAGCAACGAAGCGTTACTTAGGCATAGTTAAAACGACCGTTTTTTGGTCCCGGTGCAACGGTTATAAGCAGGGAGAGTTAACGGACGCCAGGTGCTGCTGTTTACGACAGTCGTAAATTTACGCCCCGTTGGTGCAACCGGGCCCTGGCCCCGTATGCACAAAAAATCCTTATCTTAAGTGAAAAATTCTCCTTAACTTCCTAAGAAAATTCTTAGCTGAGGAAACCCCTCAAGTGGTATGCACAAAGTACCTTAAGAATTTCCTAAGCCAAGAATTTTCTCAAATAATAGGAATTTCCTCAACTCTGTAGGATTTCTCTTATGTGTTGAGCTATGTTTAGCCTGTGCATTGACCAATAGAATAACCTGTTACAATAGCTCACACTGGGGAATTCCTGGGGAATCCATGTTTGAAGGTATCCTTTACTTGGATATGATAGGCCTATCAGTTATTATTAGAAGAGTTGAGATATCAATCGTGTAGGCCAAGAAGTTGTAACTTCTTGTGTAGGCCTAGTATTCTTCATACTCTGACAGAAAAAGAGGCATGTCATCCAATCCCCAGACCCAACACTAATAATAATCCAGTGACATAATTACATTTTAATCAAAAGGTTTTATCTCTGTTGGCTGATACATGTGCACCCATCTCCCCTATCGGCGATAATTCTGTAAAAAGGCCCCATAAAAAATATTAGTTTACCATTGTCACCTACAAGAAGTGATTCAGTAGGGCGTATTTTTTGCTCATACAAAAATACATTGAATTTAACCAACGATGCCCTCCGGACCGTCATTACATACACTAAAACTTGGAACGTGCCATGAGCAAAGCTAGTAGTAACATAAATTGCAGTGAGAAGCACTCTTAGTACAGGGAGAATCTGTTTTTGTGCATGAGGTGCACATTTGATGGGGAAAATTTACATTATAATTTTTTTATGTGTGCAGAAAAAGTAATGCGGTCGGGGATGAAAAGTAACATTTTTTCGTGGGCCCTAAAAAAGAAATAAGCCCAGCATATACTTATTTCATGACTATGGCCACCATTTACATGTCATCGACTTACATATTTTAAGTGTTATCTGTGATGAAAAATTGTGGCATGTAATTCATAATATTAATATTAATTTTAATTATTAATTTCACTATTGACCCCACGTATGCATATATTAAATACCCATGTTAATTGCATAAGCATTGATGCGTGAGATTCCGTGTTATCAGGTGGTTTTCGGGGATTTCATAAAAAGTGCCCACTCAAAATTTTTCACTTTAGATATCCCTTAACAGAACGACAAATTACAAATGTAACTGCCAGAAGATCCTTAATGAAAAGTATCCCCGCTCTATCAAAACGGAATCGCTGGTAAATCTCATGATCTGGGTAAAAATCCAAAGGATTTCCGCGGTCCCGAAATATTCTTGGTCTTGCGACTGCCCTTTCCAGTTCATCCACTTCTTCACGATAAACAGCAATAATAAGAGCCATAGAGAAATAATGTTGCTGCACAGCTTTGAAATGATTGCCACTGTGTTGTACAGTCACTGAATCTAAGGACAAAATTTCCACTTAAGAGACTCAATGAGGTACCTTAAAGTTAAGGAGATATTTGGGGAAATTCTCATCTTAAGATGCTTTGTGCATACCACTTATGTTAAGGATGATCACTTAAGGAAATTCTTAGGGAAATTCTTAAAAAAATACACTTAAGATGTTTTGTGCATACGGGGCCTGGATTTTAATTAATCGGTCCATCGTACAAAATATGTAAAATGGACCGTCCCTGGGTGGGCTTGAACCACCAACCTTTCGGTTAACAGCCGAACGCGCTAACCGATTGCGCCACAGAGACCGATATACCTGTCAAAAAGGTGTTATTTCTAACCTGGCGGCTCTCATGACGACAGGTAGATCGAGATTTTATCTCACCACCGCTTTAGCATTTATATATGAGACCTCTGACCTGATGATAACGCATGATAAACTGTCCTGTGCTGGATTTTCTACCTGCCTGTTTAATGAATAACACTTTTTTGTAAGATTCTTTAGGGAATTGTTTCCAACACAAACATTTGCTCCACATTACACAAGTAATATTTTGGTTGTTTTAATTGAAAAAATGGGTAATTGTAAAACAAATATTTATCATTTATAAATGGACACTCGGAAAGAGCACACAGGTATATATGCACCCCAGTTTGGGCAAAGTTAGGAGTTAAATTCTGACTGCAATACTGCAATGTCATTTTAAGAAATCATGAGAAAAAAAAACGCTTATAAAATAAGAACTTTATCAAAATACGGGTGGGCCTGAACCACCAACCTTTCGGTTAACAGCCAAACACGCTAGCCGAGACGTGGCTTTGGCAGCCTCAATTTCCGTGGAAATGGGACAAGAAAAGGTTCGGAAGATTTTTAACCTTAAAAAGTTTTTTAAAATGTATATTTCAAGGCATATTTACAAGTGTTCTGGCGGTTTTCAGCCCATTCTCGCATTTCTCTCGTTTTCAGTGCAGCGTTGCTGCAGTACAGAGAAATTTCGTTGTTATAAATCTAGAAGGCAAACTGTCGGTTACGATCGTTAGTTAACAGCCTTTTGGCAATCTAATAAACAACAAATAACACGTCATGTATACTAGTATTTTTGTGCAGATGACACCTCTTAAAATTCAGATTTTCCTTTTCTTTGTGATTGACCAAATGACGATGTACACGACGTAAAATTCCAAAGCAGATGCAGTAATCACGGCGTAATAAAGAAATTAAATACCGGGGAACGTAATATAATGAAAAATGAGGCCATTGACATCCCTTCATATTATTCTTTGTGAAATTAAAAAGTCCCTTTGTTTATGGTAGGCGTATGTTATTACGGATGAGATAGATCTGATATATAAGCAAAGAATAGATAAATTTCATTTATTTTTAAAAACACCAAGTAAACACATTTACTGGAAACTTGATGTCAAGGTCCGTAGTTACAGTCCGTTGTTAAGTACATGTATTTATCAAAGAGTTTTTTAGAGAAACACCACAGCACGTTTTTCAGTGGATGCTGGGGCTTGGTTGTGTGTCATTCAGTGTGACTTTCATTCACCAGACTTTATTTTAACTTTTCTTTCTGTTGATTGACTTTTTTTATTTATTCATTTCTTTTTTTTTTTTTCAGTCTTGATTCCTGTTTTTGGAGCCTTTTCTTCTTTTTCATCTCTCGTTAATTTGCACCTCTTGTTTTACTGTTTTCAGGATTGTTGGGTTTCTGCTTCTCCTTAACTCTCTGTCAGTATGCACTAATTTCTTTTCTTTACTTTAGTCTTCGTTTTTTTAACTTCTGTGTTACGTGCATTCAACGTATAACGTCTTCCTTACGTGCTTCAGCAAGATTATCTTTACGGATATTAGCTCTTTGACGTCTTTTTTTTTTTCAAATTATTTTTTGCTCAAAGTAAAATTTTCAAGATCCCTTTTTCTTTTCCTATTTGGCTTTTTGTTTATTGTCATCCATATTTGATACTTCATTCACTGAGAGTATAATAAATGTACTTTTAATTATGCATGTACTGAAGTGTTCGTACCGTGTTCGTACCAAAATATATCATATACATTAATCCATAGAATATGAATCCATATATATACAGTTTATTATTTTGCAATTAGCTATATTTGGCAATATATTCAAACCAATATTGTTCATTTTGAATGCAAAGAGTAGCACCTTTACTGATTTTATTTCTTTGCAAAATCTCTTGCCTGACTCTAATTAATCAGTATCACTTTATCGAATATATATTTTTATACAATGTTTTTCTAAACATCACAAGACATGAATGCATTTTATATAGTCTAAAACAATATTTTGTACCATATTTTGATGTTTTATCATCATTGATAAGTAGCCAGTTATCAATTGGTTAATGTATAACTCGGGGGTACGGACACTACAGTGGGGGTTCGGACACTACATTTGGCACCAAATGTTTTTCATTGCATTAACAAAAATAAGTAAAATGTGTATCAAAGCCCGTATCTGCAAAATAGTTAAAAGATGTATTTTTCTCAGAACATATCTTTGGATGAACCTGCTCGAATAGGAGACAGATGTTGTGGGAATTATATACCAATATCATATTCACCATAAATCACTGACATAAAGAGCTAGTGCATCATCTTTATGACCTTAATTGCAAATGACCCACCGTAACAGCTAAAATGGGTACTTTTTGAACACATAATTGGCTATATTTTTGTAAATGGTTATCCTATTATTATAATTCTTTTTTTTTATTTTGCTTCTGTGAAAAGTGTCTTTAATATTAGTCTATCAGCAATCTCCAATTATAAATTGTTAATTTATCAGACACTTGTAACATTCACCACATTTAATTGTTCACCCTGATTGTGAAACAGCCGATCAGGACAAGTGCTCTTAGCTGGTGCACTGCACGTTGGTCGATACTTGCACGTCCCTCCACAGAAAGCACAGCCAAATTTTGTATCCACACCACCAATACATGTGCCACATGTGGCCCCCATGACGTCACATTTGTACAGGGTGGCTGAAAAATATTGAAAATATTACCAAATAATTAATACATGTTCAACATGAATACATGAATGCGTATCCATAATGTGTGTAAGTGTTACAAATAGTAGTTCATATGCATGCAGTATGTTTCCATTTTAGGAGATCTCTTATTATTGAGGAGATTTGGGCGTTATTCTGTTTTTTACCAAAATGGAATAATAATAATAATTTTTATTAGACGATCGGTTGAATGAAACAATTACTATATTTTGTGCGCTTATGAAGAAGGCATTTTATCCCATGATAAAAATGAGATCATTCCTTTTGTAACTCGTGCGTAAAAATATGCGCCTCACAGGGAAAAAGACGGGAACGTATACATATACAGCGCATGTAAAAATAGCAATACACTTACCGCTCACTTGAGAGCCGATGGGTTGGTCTATCACATGGTTATTATTCCAGATTACTTGGATTTCATGTCTCTCCTGGCCTGTGATGGCTGTATACACATACTGAGATATGAGAAGAACAAGCAGCCAATTATAATTGTATCAATATAGATCTAAATATATAAGGCATTCCTGAAGTTGCAAAACTTCTACATAGAATGCATAAGTTGGGGTTTGGATACGGTCACTTGCCTTACAAAATCAGTATTTTGAGGGCACAAATATTCGATCTGAAATGCTATCAGCTACTGTAAAATAGCGTGACATTTAAAAGATTATATATCATATATACAGTACGAGTATATGCTTTGCATCATATCTACTCACAGCGTGGCTCTGGCAGTCTATGGCACTATCATTCTGTCTGATAGCTGGGACTGTGTTAGTGCCTATCTTACACTGATAATCACCTTGGCCAGCCTGGAATATCATTAAGGTTAGGTTGAGAATAACCCAAATGATTGCAGAGTACAGCTAAATGTGGGGCTTCATTCATATATTCCTAATCAAATTTTGTTTTGAGTTCGAAGGTCTCATTTATGTCAGCCTTGTCATAGACACTGACTTGGAACTGAACTCTTGCTTTATGGTAAGAATGAAAAATCACAGTTTACCTTCCCATAATTCTTAGGTACAGTATGTATATCGCCAATTTGAATTAAAACATAAGTAGGAAGAGCGTATAACTACAAGTACAAACTGCTAACAACAACGTGTTTTACAACCACATTTAAGTGAATCTTTACCTGTGGCACAGGTAGGTTCTTCCCACTCAGTGAGATCACCTTGGTGACCCCAGCAGGTAACAGGACGTCCTGTGCACGTGGCAGAAGCTGGGGACACAGGGTGGGGCCTTTAATACTAACAGTGTCATGGCTCTGAAATGACGGAAACAAGACGGTGCGATTACTAATTAATAAAATATGTTTCTGTTCTTGAACACCGAAATTAAAGACCGTGCATAAATAAAAGGATATTTATTTCTCATTTCAATGGTGTTTCGCATTTAAGCAAGCATCAGAAACAGGAGTTTTTTTTTCTTTGTCCGTTGACACGTTTAAGAGAACCAGTACAAAACACATTCACTTGAAACTACATATTTCTGCATGTGTGGCCAGTATTATGTGGCTTTAGATATATTTTTAAGAAATAAAGTATACACGGAGTAATTAGCAAAGAATTGAACGTACATTCTGTCCTGGTATCACCCCTCCACTAGGACTACAAGTACTGCTGGCGTGGGTGCACTTGTTAGCATATATACTCCAGTCACAGGCCCAACAACTGCTGGTACAAGAGACACATCTAACAATAAGAACTACAGGCTTAGCCACATGTCCTCACCGTATGTATGTATATGTAAAATGTGTAATTGTACCCGTATGCGTGGTGTTGTCTTCTGTCACCATTCCACAACGACTAAGAATTCCACGAACGGCCACGAATTGATAAATCACAGGTTTCTTGGATAAATCTGGATATAATTTTTAAGTTCGTAACTGTTTCTTATTTCATGTCAATCAGTTCTTGCAAGTATGAGACGGTGAAATCGGCACTTAAGTTTCAAATCAGTCTTCTTTTTATCTCAGGTTGTTTTCATATCCCTTTTCTAGGGCCAATACTATAGCTGCCCTGTGTTGAACATCCATTTTGAAGTAAAACCCAAGTAGGGACAGTTCCATTTATACTAAAAATGTGCAAAATCCCGCGATTTCTAAAATCCGTGGAATTCATAGTCAGTGTGGAATAGGGACATTTCAGGACACACACAATCATTTGAAATACTAAGGTGCCACGTTTATTATCCGTCTGTTTGCACATGTACAAGTTATTTTAGTTATATAGTTAGTTAAATAGTTGTATTAGTGCGGATGCTTTTTAATTAATGTCTATCAAAATTAAATTGTGTCCTTTAAGAATAATCTTGATTAGGTAGAGATGAAGATATATATCATATATTGGAAATAATCAGTTAATGTTCACACTTCGAATTGCTTTGGTTACACAATGCAGCAAGTAACGTCTAAGCAATGAATTTGCATTTTTTTAAAAATTGTTTCGTGAACTTAGGGACTTCGTAGTCATTCCAATAAGCTAGAGAGATAATGTGTAACAATACAATACCCTGAGTGTGCGCCACAGTCAAAATATGTGAAGTTGGTCGTCAGAAACTTGACTCCTGTTGTTACTGATTTGATAGATAAGGGTATTGTTACGTGATCTGAAACGATTGTCATTCTTACTTTAGCACGCTATTCAATATACATGCCTTTAATTAGAAATATATAGATTCTTAAAGAGCAAACGTGATCCATTGTTGCGGTAATAGGCAAACCCCTGTTTCGAAAAAATAATTGAACTTCTAGTAGAATTATTGTTGCTATTATATTTCTCATTCCACAACTTTTGGGCGGTACATTAATAACATAAAAATTATTCTAAGAAAGGCACAAGGTACATTAAATATTCTTTCCTAAAATACACGTTCAAAAACTGAATGAAAATTAAAATGTAAAAGCTGTACGGAAGTGAGCGTGTTTTGGAGATACACTTATGTTACAGGTATATTTGCGAGCATTGCTAATAGTCGGATTATGTATTTATGGATAAGAGTGAGGTATATTTTTAGATGTACAAGAAGGACCACACCCCTTACCGTCCCCAGTTGGTATAGTAGGTAAGCTGGTTGGTGTGTCACATGTCACCAAGTTCCCCCCAATGACTGTGGTACTGACAGCTATGGTATCAAATACACACTGGTAGGTCTGGCCTGAGGGTAGCAGGCTTACTGAGAGGTTCAACTACAAACACGAATGAAACAGTGATTCTTTGCTTCGATGGTTACTTATACTTTAACTTCAATAAGTATATCAAGCTAATGTGATAATAATAGTACTTCATCCATGGAAATCTCGATGCATATTTTCGTGTTTTGCGGTGCATAGTGATCACGTGACCGGTTATTGCACTGCTTGCATGGGACCGTCAGTCTTTAACAAGTTGATACGCAGACTTACAGATCCGCGGATCAAATTTGGTTAACCCACTTAAAGGTCCTTCAATGGACTCCCCGCCTCCCACATGCGATATCCATGCAGGGGCCTAGCAATTGAACCTTGGGCCGAGATTTAACCCATTTATTTGCTAGGCCCCTGCGGGCCCGACGCGTGTGGTAGGCGTGGAGACCATTAGAGAATTATACTTAATCGTTTTCAAGCGGGGTAAGCCATATTTGATCCCCGGAGCAGTAAGTTTGCGGATCAAGTATTCTGAATACAGAGGCGAGCTAGGGGGTCTGCGCCATTCACCTTACTGCGCATGAGCATAGATATATGGTAAAACAGTGAAGTCCATTGGCACAAGCTGTTCTACGAGCGTATTTCTGGACTCAATACAAGCGAGTCCACCATACGATATCACGATTATTGGTTACTTTGCCAAATGAAACAAAAGTTGGTTGTGCAATATATGCACGCACATATCAATTCTTTGTACCTGTGTGGGTCTGGCTAGAGGTGTGTTTGGTGGTGAAATGGTATTGATCTTGGCACACTGTCCATTATCAAACGGAAGCCATCTTCCTGAGCCATCTGCATTCGAGCATTGACTTTCTCTGCTGCATCTAAAAAAATAAACACATGAAGCAGATGGTTCCTTGCATTAAAAGACGGTTTTTCATTCCACCTTAAATAACATAGCATCATGTTGGATAACAAAAACGGATGAAGGAAAAAGATCTTTGTGGAAGTTATGCGTGCGTTACCAGTATATTCAAAACTGTCTGTGTCAGTTCATGCAAGTCACTATCCGCGTAGAAAAATATGCTTATTATATTATTTCTTCGCAAAATTCTACTAAACATACTTAAAATATAAATACAGATTCGAAAAAAAACGTATCAAGTAGGCCGAACGCCTAGACAACATATCTGAATATGAACACGCTGCGTTCTACATTGTTTCTCTAACTTCTACAAAAACAGCGGGTTTAACCATCAAGTATGCAAAGCAAATCGTTCAAATGTTTACACACAATATTCTATTCTTAGACTGCATTCTTATTACCTTACAGTACTAGCAGGATCGATGTATCTCAGCGGGGATTCTGGCTAAGGCGCTGTCAGTGCATGTGATCGGCTTAATTGTCTAGCACGCTCCTCGCAAAGCATATAAGCCGTTTAAACTGAATGCAATTTAGCGACAATTTTAAATAAAATTTTAAAACGCAGCAAGTAGCTATTAAATAATACATTTTAATATGAACACATTGAATGTTTAATTGGTTCTCGAACTTCTAAAAAACAGCGGGTTTTAGCCATCAGGTATGCAAAGCAAATCGTTCAAATGCGAACACACAATATTCTTACTTGTTCTCCAGACTACACCACCCACAGAACGGGTCTCTGGATGCCAGACAATTATTACAATATTCTTACTTGTTCTCCAGATTACACCACCCACAGAACGGATCTCTTGATGCCAGACAACCATCACAACTACTGTAACTACCGCAGTCTGCTACCTTCAGTTTACTGACCTGGAAAAAGTTTGATATATACTTACATATTTGACTCATTTTATAATCTAAATCGAAAGTCCTGCTTTCATTACATCCAGTTCTTGGGCAAAAAAATGAATGGATATCCCAAATACATGAAACATTTGGGCCACGCCCATCTTAGATCAAATTACGCGCATAATAAATCCAATAAAAATACAAATCTTAAAGACCAAGTATGACTTTTACCTATTTAAAAAGAGCCATTTTAAGATTTTAAAAATGTACTTTGGTTTATGTCCCCATATAACTACATATTCGTGTTTATTCTACTTTTTCTAGCCCCTTAAGTGCCAGCTCTAGAGAACTCACCTTGTATTTGGTCATAACATACACGTACTCTTCTGTGGTATCTAACTGTATATCTTTTACCTTATCGTTTGACACTTGTACTGATGCATATTCCACAGCAGTTGTATTAGACTGGATTAATATCTGAAGACATTAACGGTTAGAAAGTTCACGAAAGGTTTGTTGGGGCATATGTAAAACAGATATTTTAAAAAACAAGTTTGAACAAAATGTGCAAAAAATGCTTTAGCTAGAATACATTAAAAATCATTTCCCTATTAAATACACGGAATTTGATGCCCTAACAAAAACGAGTACTTCGTCTAACTAAATATAAAACCCTTATTCATAATCAAGTACGCTTTCAGTTTAAAAAATTAGTAGGTAGGTTTTATCATACGTTTTTAAACCGTGGAAGTTAATTTCCATAATTAAACAAAAGAAAAATTCGGCTGTGTACTGTTCGCGTATTAAAATACAAGAAAACCAACAACTCAATTGTGCCGTACCTTTTTTAGTTGCCCGTCAGCATTTCCTACAAAAGCCACAGTGTAGCTGGTGGTGGTTGTTGTGGCTACTACTGTCCATGTGGACGACGTGGCTGTCAGAGCAGGGGTTGATGTTACCGGGGTGGTTGACACTAGGGGAGCGTTAGCACCGCCATACCAGTAGTCATGGTTACAGTAGCTTGACCCGTAGTTGAATGACTGGGGATGTAAAAGTAGTACCCAGTAAATGTAAAATGCATGACGAACGGCAAAAATATCATGTTTATTGACACCCCCCTAAAACAGAATCCACGCACAAACGAAAGGCACCATTTAAAGCAATAATAACTCTTCCTTTAAGATTCAAATTTCCGCAAGAAATACATTGTAAACAACGCATGGAAATATATTATATTGCATTTTACCACTTAAACGGCTGTTACTGTTATAAAACTAAAATCAATAGGGCTTTTGATTCCTTTCTTCCCGGTCGTTAATACATCCGTTGCCAATGA